CATTTGGGCCATTTCGGACTCGTTTTAATTTAGCCGAGGTCGACCTATGATGCTTCTGAGGTTGACCTATGAAAGCAAAAGTTCGATTTATTTGTGATAAACTTATTGAGGTCGACATGTGATGATATTGAGGTCGACCTCGGGCCATTTAAATCGATTGAAAGCCAATTGTGACTTTCAAAAGCCGTGCAGTGCATGAGATTAGGCCATCTTGCAATGCACTCGAAGACATAAACGTTTGTGTCTTCGAGTGCATTACAAGGTGGTCTAATGTCCTGAACTGCACGGCTTTTGAAAGTCACAATTAGCTTTCAATCGATTTAAATTTTCCGAGGTCGAATTATGTTTTTTCTGAGTTCGACCGGATCTGTTTTGCACTCAACTGTTACGCGCATTAGGGACATTTCGGACTCGTTTTAATTTAGCCGAGGTCGACCTATGATGCTTCTGAGGTCAACCTATGAAGGAAAAAGTTCGAGTTGTGCAATTGTCTTTGAATTATTTGTGCGAAACTAACACTGGTCGACCTCTTCTAATTATGAGGTCGACCGGATCTGTTTTGCACTCAATTGGTACGAGGAATTGGGCCATTTTAGACTCGTTTCAATTTAGCCGAGGTCGACCTATGATGCTTCTGAGGTCAACCTATGAAGGCAAAAGTTCGAGTTGTGCAATTGTCTTTGAATTATTTGGCGAAACTAACACTGGTCGACCACTTCTAATTATGAGGTCGACCGGATCTGTTTTGCACTCAATTGGTACGAGGATTTGGGCCATTTTAGAATCGTTTCAATTTAGCCGAGGTCGACCTATGATGCTTTTGAGGTCGACCGATGAAGGCAAAAATTCGTTTATGTCGACCCATTCTCGTTTTAAATTAATTGAGGTCGACCTATGATTCTTCTGAGGTCGACCCATTATCGTTTTAAATTAACTGAGGTCGACCGCTTTATGGAGTGGTCGACCGCGTATTGTTCAATTCGAAAATGTGACTACCGTGTATTCTTGCTTGTTTAATGGCAGGATGATTGGCAAAAATAAGAAAAGAAAGTCACAAAAAGCTGCTGCCTCAAGTTCGGAATGGGAAGAGTTCAATCCAAACTGTTCCAGACCAAGGATCAAAGTGACAACTATGAAGAGAAGAGAATGCACAACCGCAGGGTGGCTCCTGAAAGGCCATTGACGACGGATGCGTATTCTCATTTCGAGAATTACGGGTTTCTGGGACCCTTCATCGAGCAAGAGTGGCTGAAGGTGATATCTCTCAATGTACCATACTACCCAAAACTGGTACAGTACTTCTACAACAACATCGTCTACGAGCGCAATGCAAATGGATCCATTCACGCATTCAAATCCTATGTGAATGGGGTGGCAATGCGCATCAGCAAGAATGTGTTGGCGCAAGTACTTGAGGCTCCAAACGAGGGGAAGAGAATCAATTCTTACGGTGCTTGGAATGAAACGCATTTCACGAGAGCCAAGCAAATCCATACGGTATGTGGTCTTGATGAAGAGGAAGATGCTCAGGGGCGCAATAGGCCAACGAGTAACCACCTGACAGTTCAAGCCAGAGTTCTTCACCACATGCTTTCGTACAACATTCTGCAAAAGGGTGGACATCGGGAGACAGTCACCTACTTCGACATGGAGCTCCTCACCAACCTACTGTTAAGCGAGAAGGTGAACTTGCCATACTTGATCTTTAACCACATGCTTACTGCTGCAGAGAGTTCAAACAGGAATCTTCCCTATGGGATGATCCTCACTGTGCTATTTGAGCATTTTAATGTGAATTTAAGTGAAGAGGTGGGGTTAAGAATCTCAAGGCAGGAGTTCTATACTGTTTCATCTCTGAAAAATGATGGGCTTTGAGCTGCGTAATGGTGAGTATGTCAGAGTAAACAATGCTCATGGTGGTGATGATGATGATGATGAGGGTGATGAAGGAGCTCGAGACGAGCCAATGGCGGAGGCACAGAGTTCAACTCCACCGATCACCTTACAGCGTGTGTGGGAGCGCATGGATGGCATGTACGAGTACATGGGCCAGATGTCCACCCAGATGACTGGCATGCACGACTACATGGGGCAAATGACCGCCCAGATGAGCACAATGCAGGTGACTGTGAATGAGATGCGAGATGAGTGGCGATCTTTCAGCGGAAGATACATGCATCCCACCACATCCGACCACCATCATGCTAGCACCACCAATGAAGAAAATGTGGATGAGAGAGAGGGGGGAGATGATTAGGAGAAATGAGTTTTTATATTGTGTGTTTTAGTGGTCAAAACGATTGTTGAGTGTTATTCTGTTGTTTTTTTAGTTTTATTTTTATGTGTGAACAATTATGATTTCTGTTTTATTTTTAGTTGTTATGCTATGAATTGATGAGTCCTTGTTATAATTATTTATGACTAATTATGATGGTTTGAAACATAATTTATACGATTAAAAGAACCACACAAATCGACATACATAAGCAAAAAAGACACGGGCATAGGGTGACTTTCTTGTATTCGGTCGACCTCGTACCGGATTAGGTCGACCGCGAAACCAACACTTGATCTTGATTTTACGTCAAATAATTGGACACTTTGATAAAACACTTATCTTCTATCTGGTCGACCTCTTTCCTCATCCGGTCGACCATTTTGTTAATGACTGCCATCAAGTGGTCGACCTATATACCTTAGGTGGTCGACCATGTTGTTTCTGACGCCAACGAAATGGCCGACCCAGGTTTTATTCTGGTCGACCAAAAATAACAACTTAAACTAAGTGCGGTCGACCAGGTGGTCGTTGAGGTCGACCGCAATGCTTTCTCGTGCTGCCCAAATTAGTCGATTCGGTCGACCGCCTTCAGCAATAGGTCGACCGAAAAGTGCATGTCACCATGACATGCATGTCATAGTAGGCATACCCTAATCCTTAACCCTCTCATCTATGCATTACACAAAGGTTATGTAAAATCAATTATGTTTTACAAACCAGTGTTAAAAAAGTGATACTTTTTATGACATAATTATTTTATTATAAACTAAAATTCATTAATTATGACATACAATATTCACTATCTCAACAAAGTGCATTACACAAAATTCTATAAAGTAAGTTAACTTTTGCATTATAGTTTATTCAAATGTGATATATTTTCATACCTTAATTTTATTATTAGATGGCGTATTATGAAAATTTTATGTTCGATTGTTCTACAATAGTTATGTAAATTAAAAATAAATTACGTAAAGTTTTGAAAGGATATATATTTTTTACTGAACAAACATGTTAATTATTACATAAGTATTCTCTAATGATTAACACTACATAAAGCTTATGGTGATATATTATCCAAATTATTTTGAAAATTATTTGATTTTAATGAAGTCATTGAATAAGTGGATGGAGTTTTAAATTTATTAGTTTCTTACCGTAGCGAAGCGCGAGTCAAAAATTACTATAAACACATGTTTTCAATACTTCCTTTTACTTGTGAATTACAATAAACTCGTAACCCGTGAGTTACGGTTTTATCAGCTAACATCATAGAATTTTATTTTTTAACCGCAGAAAACTATAACATCACCCTTTTGTCCTATTTCGAGTTGTTGAGAGAAAGTTATGTTGGCCCCCTCAAACGAAAGCCAACTCATGGGCTCGAAGTTTGCACAGGTCCGCCATACCATGTGCTTGAAAGACAACGGCTAATATTGGGGGTCGTGAGGACTTGAACACGTGACCTCAAGGACAAACCAGCTCTGATACCATGTCATAAACCAGTTGGTCCTAACAACTCGAGTTGTTGGGAGAAGGTTATACTGGATCTTATACAGGCTCATGTATGATACTTAACCACTTCCTTACAACTTTGACCTCTCGAAGTAACTGGCTTATCCTTCCTATTTCATTTATCTTTAGCAACCTCACAATTTGAACAGCTGAATCCGGAAAGGTGAAGGAAGATTACTGTTTAAGCCTCAACACTCCGCTCTCAATTCTTTCCCAATTCTCTCCTCGTCGAACAGTATTCTCCACCAGGCGCTCCGACCCTGCACAGATAAACGCCTAGAGGGCTTGGATTGCCCGTTAGCACTCCGAAGCTTAAGTCAGATCCTGCCTTTTAGAGAGAGAAGTAAACTCAGGATCTTAGTGAGAGAAGCCAACCTGCGTAAATGCTACCTACCGGGTACTATTTATACTGGCCGAGGTCCCAACGGTCTTCTTGGCATTTCAACCCACGTCAGCTCTTCATTTAATGCATGGTACGGTACAGCAGTCAGGCGCCTATACGTGGCCGCTTCAGAACGCCCCGAGGGGGGCGCCCAGCAGGGACCACAGCCGCCATGTGGCTCGTTTCCCTGCTTGCCCTTCCGTACCCTTTGTCCTCATGCCTCCTTTGTCGTCATGCGCCTGTCCTACCTTGAGAAGCCTAATCCATTGTTTGGGCCTTTTCAAACCTAAACTATTCCTTTTTGGGCCCGTTTTACTATTCCCACCTCATGGGCTTGGGCCTATTTATACTTCCCCAACAATTGCCCCCCAGTTAGGTGCTCATAGTCGATGGGCGCCTAACTATTGACCGATACCCCTTCTTAACACGCCTTTCGCCATCATGCCCACTTCTCTTGCGCCCACTCAGGCTCTTTCTTTATGCGCTCTTGCCCCCCTGTGTCCCTTCATACCATCCCTCTTCAGCAGGCGCCTCCTCTTCAGCAGGCGCCTAACAGGTTATACCCGCCCCCCTCACCGTGCGGTTCAAAATTCGAATTTTTTTTTTTTTTTGAATTTTGAAATTTGAAATTTGAAACGGACGGTGAGGATCTAATCTCACGAGAGGGCCGCGTCTTCCAACACTGGCCGTTGGACTCCCCGCCCATATATATACCTCGGTCGCTTTCCTCTCCATTCATTCTGACGAAATCACTCTCTCTCTAACTTTATCTCTCTAAACGCGGCCGCCTGTGCGCCTGTTGTAATATAAAATAATCAAGGCAACATGTCTCGCCGTGCCGACTCAGGCGCCCCATCCTCTGACGCAACGAAAGATACTGGTTCGGCGCCTGACGTTCTGTCGGTACTGGAAAAGCATTTTTCTCCGGATCCCCTTCGCGAGTCGGGCGGATGGACGCCTCGCACCAGACATCAGGCGCCTTCAAAGGATGACACGCCCGATGATCCTGTTACCTCGGAGGCGCCTACTTCAAAAGATCACTCGATCGAGGGAGAGGAGATTCCCCGCCCAAAGGCGCCTACCACGGATGCTGTACCTGACGCAACGACGCCGTCACAGCCCACCCCAAGTAAGTGATTCTAGCAAACCCTGAACCAAGACAAACCCTTTTTTTTTTTTAGGCGCCCCAGCCATTAGGACTTAGCATTGACAATGGCCGTTTCCTCAAACCTTTTAGGCGCTGCACCCAGACCCTCCTTATCGGCTTCCTTAGTGCTGTCGCCGATGTCCTCTGATTCAGGCGCCCCCGAGGATGGATCCGTCAAGATTAGGAGGTGGGTTGATACGTTTCCCTCGGGGCAGGCGCCAGGTGATACCAGTCACTTGTCAGTGATCGAAGCTGGCCCTAATCGCGTTTCTACCGTCAAGGCGCTTGAGTTAGAAAACTTGGCCGTCTCCATGCAACTTCCCCTTACCTGGTCCTTTGCGCCTGCACCCCGCGCGGCCCGAATTGGCATTGTTGGTCCCCGCTGGCTCGGTATCTACCGAGAGTATTTTCGATTTGGCCTCCGCTTTCCCCTGGATCCGATTCTTGAAGGCATATTATCTACATGCAAATGCTCCATTGGGCGCCTCTCCCCCTCCGTTTTTCTTGTCCATATTTTGTTCAGACTTAAGTGTAGGCAGCATAACGTCGAGCCGTCATTTAACCTTTTCCATCATTTTTTTAAGATGCAATATAGCGATAATTGCCTTTCGATTCAGAGGCGCCTAGACATCCCCGGCCACTTCTTAGTAGAGGCGCCCAAACTTGGCCGAGAGTGGTTTAGGAGCTTCTTTTTTGTGAAACCACGCCAAGAGTCTTTTTACGAAAGTGGCGCCCCGTTCACGAGAGGATGGGTGATGGGTGACCATGAGGCGTTCAACGTCGAGGTATCCCTGACGAAATCGGAGAAGGAAGGCGCCCGTCTTATTTCCTTGCATCCTGTTTGTCTTAAGTCTACTGAGGCGCGGACGCCTGTCCTACACGAATTTTATCGTGACGGTGGGCTCTTGCTTTGAATGCGCCTGCTTTCTACGCTTATTGTTTTGCATGTCATTTTTATATGCTCCCTTTGTACTTGTTTGGCAGGTTCGGACTTCACCTCAGTTGCAACCCTGATGAAGTCCCAGTTCGCAAAGCTGGGCTTAATACCCAAGAAGGCGCCCAGCTCAAGGAAGGGCGCCAAGAAATCCGACGAGGGTAGTTCTAAATCGAAGAAATCTGCCGCTGCTGCGAAAGAGGCGCCCAAGTCTGCCGAGGGGAAGGACAAGGGGCGCTCAACCAAAAAGAACAAGTCTCCCAAGAAGGTTCAGACGCGGAAAATTCTCAGTCCTGCGGCTTCCGATGCTGCACTGGATACATGGGAGGCGCCCCTCGTCAAGGTGGGCACCGATGGCTCGGCGCCTGTTATTGACTTGCTGCAGGGGGATGACATTGCTGAAGATGAAACACCCTTATCACAGAGATTGAAGAGAAAATTAGAGGGCACCCAAGTTGAGCTGAGCAAGCGCCCCCGACTTGACGATGATGCGGAACTGCCCGAGTCAATGAAGAAATGGCTTCAACCGCCCAAGCATAAAGTAACCCTGGTCTGTTCTGATCGTGCTGCATTGGAACGGGGCGCCGCCGTCCAAATGGCACTGGGCGCTGGCGACGTGCTCCGGGCGCCCCAAGAACTGGCAGCTGCTGACCCTTTGGCCGAAGTGTGCCTACTGAACGCCCAAGTAAGTTGACAGGCGCATTTCTATTGTTTTTGACAGACGCATATCTATTGTTTTTGACAGGTGTATATATATTGTTTTTGCAGATGATGCTTGCTGCACAGAAAGCTATCAAAGAGCGTGAGGCCGTGCGCGCCGAAGCCAACAAAGCGATCACCTCACTCGGCGTGTCCCAGGACAACCTCGAGACTGCAAGAAACCGCCAAGAAGAACTCATCAAAATGTGTGAGGATGCCCAACTCGAGGCTGCGAAGAGCGCCTCGCTTTTGCAGGTCACCGTGGATGAGGAAAAGGCGAAATTGCGCCAAGAGTATGAGGCGCAGATCGAGGATGAAAAGAGGGCGCATGAGGAGACCAAGGTGAAGCTGGAGAAAGAGCTACTTGATTCGGAGAAGGAGTCGGGCGCCTACAGAAGTGAAATCGACCTTCTTCGCCAAGAAAGGCGTGCTCTGAAGAAGGACAAGAAGGTGTTGGGGAGGGAGAATGAGAAGCAACAGAAGGAGATTCAGGCGCTCAAGGAGGAGAAGAAGGCACTTGAAGATGAGAAGCAAGCGCTCGAAGCACGAGCGGTGGGTGGCAGCTCATCGGATTCCACTCAGGCGCTTAAGGCCTCGGCGTCCTTGAACGCCATTTTGATTTTGCGCAAAAAGCTGTTGGCCGATCATCCCATCATTGATTGGGATGTCAACTCCATGGTGAGTTTCGTAATTTCTTACATGGAAAGTGGACGCCCAATAGCAGACGAGGCGCCTGACGACGATGGTGAAGAAGATGATGATGGTGATGAATCTTCCTCCGCCAAGTCCGGCGGTGGTGCGGCCGAGTAGTTGTAGGCGCATAGGCAACATTGTCTGTGTATTATAAATGATCATTTCATTTTCCGCGTTTCCTTGTCTGATGACTCTCTTATGCTTGGTTGACTATCATTTTATTTCGCCCATGTTATTTCCTCTTAGCCTAAGTTATTTTCACGGTCTGTTTTCGTATGCAACTTTACTCGCCTTTGTCATACAATGGGCGCCTGGCATGATATTGGCGCAAAGGTGGGCGCTTTATACGAGGAGGGCGCTATAAGGAGGGAGGGGCGCAAAGGTGGGCGCTTTAAATGGGGAGGGGCGCATTCGCATGGGCGCCTTTGTTGCATCTTTTCTCAAAACTCTACTTCGTATTAATTAATCCGATTTCTCACAAGTATGGGCGCAAAAGAGGGCGCTTTACAAAATATTGGGCGCAATAAGTAAGGGCGCTTTGATTCTACGGCGCGTAAGGGCGCTTTTGGAGACAGATAAAGAAAAACCTACTAACCACTGGAGATTAGCCACTAACCACCTCCTTTCGAGGCGCCTACTCTGATATTTCAGTCATTGTACCCACTTCTTCCTCACCCTCAGCATCCATCATGCTTAATTCCCCGGCCTCATATTTTCTCAAGTTTTGGGCATTCCATGTTCGCTTCACGTTCTTACCCGACAAGGTTTGCAATTTGAATGTACTTGGGCCAACAACCTCCTGAACGCGATACGGACCTTTCCATTTTGGGGCCAACTTTCCCTCGGTGGCCTTGGGACGAAAATCACGCTTTAACACCAGGCTTCCTTTCACAATGCCGTGTGCCCGCATCTTTTTGTTGTAATACCTTGCTACCTGCCCTTTCATCGCTTCCAAACGCAAGGCTGCCACCTCTCGGCGCTCATCCAACAAGTCCAGCTCATCAATGCGCTCCTGAACATCCATTGATTCATTGCGGTGGGTCATTCTGTAGGTAGGCACCCTCATTTCCACTGGCAAGACGGCCTCGCTGCCATAAGTCAACGCGAAAGGTGTTTCTCCCGATGCCACCTTGAAGGTAGTCCTGTGCGCCCACAAGACACTCGGCAGCTCCTCAACCCACTTGCCCTTTGCCTCCGCCAACCGTGTGTGCAACCCGTGCAATATGCTCTTGTTAGCCGCCTCAGCTTGCCCATTGGCTTGGGGGTAGGCCACGGACGAGAACCGCAAAATCACTCCATTTTCATCACAGAACTCCACGAACTTCTTGCAATCGAATTGCTTTCCGTGGTCAGTGACAATGGATTCTGGGAGTCCAAACCGTGCGAAGATGTTCTTCTTGGTAAACTTCCGCACCTGCGCTTCCGTGATTGTTGCCAATGGCTCTGCTTCAATCCATTTGGTGAAGTAATCCACTGCGACAATTAAATATTTGAATTGTCCAGGCGCCTTTGGTAACGGTCCCAAGAGATCCATACCCCACTGGTTAAAAGGCCAGGCGCCCACATTCCCTTGCATGGGTGCCGTTGGGAGATGTATGTCGTTAGCGTGAATTTGGCATTGGTGACATGCGGCCACATGTCTTCGAGCGTCTGCCCGTATCGTGGGCCAGTAATATCCTTGGCGGAGCACAATCTTTTCAAGGCTTTGAGCGCCTGCGTGCATACCACAAGTTCCTTGGTGAACCTCCTTGATCGCCTGTAAACCCTCAGCCTCAGTAAGACACCGTAGGTAGGCGCCTGAGTGTGATCTCTTGTACAACGTCCCATCCACTATGGTACACCTAGCTGCTTTCCTTCGTAAGCGCCAAGCCTCTTTCGAGTCCTCGGGAACCACCCCTTGTGTGAGAAAGGACCAAATTGGTGCCATCCAGCCTTCTTCAATCCCCGATGATATGGACGCCATTATCACATCTTCGTGGGGCACCTCCTTCGTCACAATCACCGTTCGATTCTCCTCAAAATCAAGCGCCGTCGCCAGTTTGGACAGGGCATCCGCATGCGCATTCTCTTCCCTTGGGACATGCGTGAACGTGACTTCACGAAACCAGGCGCATTTCTTGCGTACCGAGTCCACATAGGCGCCCAATGATTCCTCCTTTATCTCATAAACTCCATTTAGTTGGTTGACAACTAACGCTGAGTCAGATTTGATGTTTACCTTCTGAGCGCCCAACTCCCTAGCCATGTGGAGTCCTGCCAAAACAGCCTCATATTCTGCCGTGTTGTTTGTTTTGAGTGCCGCAAAACGCAAGGCTATTTCATGTAAGGCGCCTAAGGGACTCATAAGTACAATTCCTGCCCCCGCTCCTACTCGACTTGCTGCACCATCTACATGCACCTGCCAACATTCTTCGGCCGCCACTCCTCCATCCGAGACGCCCTCTGCAATGAAATCAGCTAACACTTGTGCCTTGATGGCGGGGCGAGGCGCATAGCTGATATCAAATTCACTCAATTGAACCGCCCACTTCACCAGGCGCCCAGACACATCCATGGATCCAAGGACGGTTCGGAGAGGAAGGTTTGTGAGAACCACAATGCTGTGAGTTTGGAAATATGGCCTGAGCTTGTTTGCCGCCATCACTACTGCCAGCGCAGCCTTCT